ATTTAAGACTTGCCATTGTGGGCTCTTTTATTTTTAGAATGGAAAATTGTGGTGTAATAAATCAGTCGGTCTATCGTTGAATAGAGTCGTTAATCTACGTTTTCTTTTTGCATTGCTTCTAGTTCTGGAAAATTTCTTTTGAAGTTCATTTCATAGGTTTCTTTCAAAAATAGCTGTGCGATATCTGTATCGTCTGTATACCCAAGTTCCCTCTGAATTGGTCCTTTCCGCTCCAGCTTAATTGAATCCGACTTTTTGTTTCTTGGATATCGAGCCAGTATGCTTAACCCATTTGCAGGATGCTTGCGCGCAATCCAAGCTCTAAATGCGCTTGAATCTAATGGTGTAAACGCTGCTCCACTTGGGGAGTCTCCGAGGTAGATTTTAAAACCTCTCCCATTTATCAGAAGCTCAAAGAAAAAAGCGTTCGTAAAATCTAGACCTATGCTATCAAAATTAGCGGGTGAAAAAGCGACTGATTTTTCAGAGCCTATTTTTTTAAAGTGCAATTCGCAATTCAAGATATCTAGCGTTTTCAGAAACAACGCTATTGCCGAATTACCTTTAAAAAGCACTTTGTCTACTTTATGATTTTTAGGTTTTCTTCCTTTTCCGCTCCCATCGGATATATCCCAAGCTTTACTTGTAAACACTATATTTTCTATATGATGATCGTGCTCTATCAATCGCGTTACGAGTGGAAGATTCGGAATAATGTTGAACAGATTTTCGTCTGATGCGCGCTTACTAGTTAAACTATTTCGCTGGAGTCCAAGAATAATGTCGGCAACGATGACCTTGTTCTCCTCGAGATATTTGTAAATTTCCGCTTGACTATCTAGGTTAAGTTTCGTCCAAAGTGAACCCTTATTCCCATAAAACCAATCTAGACTTGGTGCGGTGTCAATGTTTATACCTTTTAGGCATAACCTTCTATCGCTCCACTTTTCGTAGTGCTTGTGCAAATAGCTTGGGGGCGGAAATGTGCCAATCAGTAAGGTCTTAGCATCGCTATTAATTGCGGCATCAGTTGCTACATACGGATGCCATTCAAAAGGCGGCGTTCTTCTAATTAATTCGGTACTTGCCTTAATGAAATATTCCGCTTGGCACTGCTTAATGTTTTCACGAATGCCTGCGAGGTTTGCCGCATCAAATTCGCCTGATTGACTGATTGCTAAATCGAGGTCGAAACTCTCAAGGGTAGTTCGGTATTTCTCCAGTAAGGTTGGGTCGTAATTGAGGACAGTCAAGGGAATAGGTTTAATATTTTAATCTTGTTTTATTTCACTTCTATTTTGCCACTTAATAAATCGCTCA